CTTAATCATTATCTCTTTCAAAAAAAGAATGTTAATCATTATCGATCTCAACATTGAGTTTTAAAAAAGAAAATATGACATTTTAGGAAATGTGACACTATTATTACATTTTTATTTTTATCAAATTACTTTGAAGACAAATTAATAGCAATTTGGCTGATTTATCTGTTAAGTGGGCAAAAAACGAATATTTCATCTCTTTAATAGAATGTAATAAAAAATAAACAAGTATAAAAATAATTAAATGATTGTTACTCCGTGAGCCCGTGCTTAAAATTTGGTTATTAATTGTTGTGGTTCCAATTAAAGAATCTAATACTTATCAAATACGTAATGGGTTTTGAAAAAGTTACCAAATTAATTAAGGTAGATTTCTACGGATTTTTGTTTTCATATCAATATGCAATCAAAAATAGAATCTAGCTAATAAAAATAGAAGGTATAAAAATAACTATATATTTAATATATATAATGACATGGCAGGATTATGTGGCGCTTTGTATGCTCTTAAAAAGTTCCTCTTTTATATATATATATATATATATATATATATATATATATATATATATATATATATATATATATTGATTATGTCCGGATGTGCCATTTGAGGTGACTCCCGGTGGAATTTTTTGATAATCTTTTTTGAGCATCTTATTCATTAAGTCTAGTTTACTCATACCAAATTTCAGCCAAACATTCAATCGGGAAGACATTCAAATGAATTCTTGAAGATAACTACGCTTTTAACGGCACAATTATCTTCAAGAATTCATTTCAATGCCATATTTCACACCCTTATATTTTATTAGTTTTATCCTCCTGCTCTAACATGACCTCCCTAATCAGCGACGAACGAAGAGTGGAAATCGACGGAGATTTTTGGCGAGTTTCTGACTGGATGAGTCGCGAGCAGCCTCCCGCGACAACCGACAAGCGACGGACCAATTGGCGAGCGATTACAGCCACAGGCGACGAGCAATGGACCTCAACTTCGGAGATGGTGATTTCTGGCGAGTCTACGACTGCGGACGACAATTTCATTGTAGATATATACATAGTTGTACTGATACGAGCATACACAAATGAAAAGTTGCACACAGTAGAGATTTAAAATGAGCTTTTTGAATTTTTTGATGCTCATCTCGTAATTTATGTTTGCTCATTTGATATTGGTATGATACTCAATTTGAACATAGTAGAGATTTTAAAGGAGCTTTTTGAATTTATGATGTTCATTTCGTAATTTATGTATGCTCATTTGATAGTGGTGTAATACTCATTTCAAAATGTCATATTTATTCATATTTTAAAAGTATAATATTACATTCAATTCACATATTGGATTCATACGGTTCATTGTAGTTTTTTCAAAAAATAAGAAAATAAAAGTGAATTATAAGATATGAAGCCGACATCAAGATGCTCATTATCACACTCTCAATACTCAGTAGAATAGATCTGATGCTCACTAAAACTAACATTAATGTTCATTTAACGGAAACCACGATTTTCGTTTAATTTAAGAAAATGCCGCCGACTATAAGATATACACTTCCATTGGCAGACTAACCGGCTAACCTGCTAAAACGCATGATTGACTGTTTTTTTGATAGTTTGAGATTTTGATTTAATGATTCCATAATACTGGGACTTAATTGCTATTTTTGACAGTACAATGGTCTATGGCCCTATGGGGTTTGTCCATGAATAATACTAAAACAAGTGATGTGGACAAATATATGACCACTTTTAAAAAAAATTCAAAACTGAGACTAAACTACTACTATTGACCATGACCAACCTGACCAGTGACTAATTCGGCATGTGGCCAATCCGACCGTGACCAATTCGGCCGTGACCAATCCGATCGTGACCAATCCAACCGTGACCAATCCGACCGTGATCAATCCGACCGTGACCAATCCGATCGAGACCAATCCGACCGTGATCAATCTAACCGTGATCAATCCAACCATGACCAATTCGACTGTGACCAATCCGACCAGTGATTAAATCCACCAGTGATCAACCCAATTAATGACCACGACCAATTCAACCAACACGACACTGCCGCCCGACCACCACCGCCCCCGACCACTGCATTGACCACCATCGCCGTCCGACGGGGACCGCCTCCGCCGCCTGGCGGTGACAGCAGCCACCCATCACCCACCAGCCCCCTAGCCTCCTCAGCCCCCTCCAACACCCTCCCCCTGCCTCCAGCCCCCCGCTACCAACCTCCAGCAACCCACAGCTTCCTCCAGCACCCTCACCCAGACCGCTGCAGCCCTCCAACACCCTCCCTCACCCCCCCACCTCTGTCCCCAACAACCCCCATCCAGCACCCTACCCAAGCAACCAGGGTCCCCCCCGTCAAGCACCCTTCCCAAGCCCCCTCCCCCCTTTCAGTCACCTCCCCAGTTTCTCAGATCGTGGACAATAGATTTGTCCCCAGGCTACCAAAGTTGTCATCGACACTTAGATTTGGCCCATATCATTGTCGAATGGATGAAGCTAGTAGATCGAAGATGAAGCTCACCGTGTGAACTCCGGCGTCGCTGGCGGTCGCGTCGCTGGGGGACGCCGTCTCCGGTGTCCAAGTCTCCATTGAAGCCAGTTACCTCATCGTTTGTTGCAGAAGCGGAAGTGGTGCGCAGGTCTCATTTTAGTCTTTATTTCAAGGTCCGTTAAGTCTCTTTTTTGTCCAAGTGAAAGTGAAAAGTCATGGTCTCATTTTAGTCTTTATTTCATGGTCTATTTGATAGTTTTCCTAACACATTCTTTTTTTATTGGATGAAATGTAATTTTATTAGCACCCAAGAAAAAATAACATAATACAATGTGTCAAAAATCTACCCATTGGAATCTATCTAAGCTAGTCAAGACTAACCTGAATAGATAAAATCACAAAATAAGTCCTTGCACGGGACAGGCCCCAGCTGTGTTCCAAAACAATCTAAACAACATTAAACAAACAAAAGCAACCTAGAAGCATACTATCTTCTATCTTGCGTTCCTTTCTTCTTCCAAATTTCTTGAAGCATACTTACATCAATTTGAAGTGGAGCCCCCTCATTTCCGTTATCTTCCTTTTCTTTATCTTCAAATTCTCACTTGCTCCTTTAAGATTAAAGCCCGGAAAAAACAGTCTGCCCCCACCTAAATTAGACTTATCATTATTAGCTTTGCTAGCAGTAGGCTTGTGCGTGACAGGCTTGGTATCAGGAGTTTTCACCGGCTTCACATTCTTTTTGCCCTTCTTCCTACGTACTTCCTCAAATGGTCCTTCGGGGTCAATAGTCTCCTGCACAACAATGGCCTCACAGTGGGCTCCTCGGTAGTTTTGGCAGCCTCTAATTTATCCGATGCTAAATCAGCTTTCTTTGTGGCTTCCTTAGCTATTATGATAGCATCAAATTTTTCGGGTTTGCTAGTTTCAACCTTTCCTTTCGCTGCCAGTTTCTTGCAAATGAATGGATGGTGTCCATATTTTTTACAATGGAAGCAGTAGTTCGGAAATGTTTCGTAGATAACCCGCTGCTCAAAGACCCTCCCTGAGTCCATCTTGATTGGAAATGAGAGAGGAGGTGGCTTGGTGACGTCCACTTCAATTAAAACTCTAGCGAAGTTGTGGTTTGCCTTTTCAAGCGTTACTTTATCCGTTGTGAGTGGAACTCCAATCATAGACACAACTTCGCTAATACAATCCTCCTGCCATAACCTCACAGGGAGCTTAGGAAACTTTATCCAAATCGGCACCTTCAAGAACTCATCATCTTCAAAGGAAAAATCATTGGACAGAACCTTCAAAACCAGTAGCTTCCCATAAAGGAAATACGGCCCCTCAATCATAACCTTAGTCCTATCAGCTTCGCTCTTGAATTTAAAAATAACCCAACCCTTGTCATGTGGTTTGACCTCACAGTGTACTCCCCATTTTTTTGTAAGGTTGTAGATTGCCTTTAACCCAGGAAACCTTCCTATGAAAAGTCCCACCAGATAGTAGCCAAAGATATCCACCATTGAAGGTAGCACACGGTCTGAAAAATCAAGAATATCTCTAGTTGGTGGAATATACCTCAGTTTAAGCCCTTGAGAAGGAGCTCGATTGTCTTTAAACAGTGCACTTCATTGCTTCTTTGGCATACTTGTCATGGAAGTTTGGGGCGTATCATTTGACCCTAACGTTTCAGAGTTGGAGCAACTGGAAAGACTATCATCGTTGTTGTACTCTGAATCAATATCGTTGTTGAGCTTGGGAAGCAACTTCACAGTCAAATTCCCCCTCTGTTCGCCCTTTCCAGACTGTCTCGGTTTGCAGGGACGATGAACCGTAGCCATGAAAATCAAAGTGCTCAGAATAATAAAATAAAAATACCTGGAGGTGCTCCTGAGTGAGGCGACCCCAGACTGTAATTATTTTTTAATTTCCTATGCCAGAGCTACCTGAAAACCCCCTTCAAAAACGTTGACTTTCGAACTGTGAACGGTGCGCAAAATCAGCGCTAAATCAGCTCAAATCTACACCAATAGCTTCGTTTCTTGATGGCGACAGAAGTAATCAAAAGTTCATTCGCATGTGAACAGTGTTTTCAAAAAAAAAACAGTTCGTTCCTTGCTAAAATCAGTCTTTAAAACCCAAATAAATCACATATCCAAGCACTACTAAGGGAGTGTTTGCAACTGCTTAAAAAAAGCACTTCTCAGCTTTTAGCTTTAAAAAATACTTATTTACCAAACACTACCAATTTTTACTTTTTCTCGGCTTGCGTGTGAAAAGTGCTTTTCCCTTTTCTATTACACAAAAAGCACTTATTTTACCAAACACTATCAACTTTTACTTTTCAAAATCACTTATTTCTCAAACACTATCAACTTTTACTACTAATCACTTTTTCATTACATCTCCAAAAGTGCTTTTTTTTAAGCAGAAGCAGTTTCAAACACTCCCTAATCATTTAGGAGTGATTCCTACCTTAGATCGAGCAAGAACAAGTCAAAAATCAAAGAAAGAGCTCAAATCTATGGTCAAGAACCTAAAGTCGTAAAAACTGCCATGAAAAACCACCCATATTGTTCAACGAGTCAACTCAGTCTAAGCTCGGTTACGCATCCATGAAAACCGGTCTTCGTTTAAACGATTTCTTCTGGTTTGAACGAGACAATGATGGCCAATCGAGAAAAGTGGGAAGTATCCGTCGTTTATACTCACAGACAATCATTTGTTTGTAATTTTTACGAGAAATAGCGGAAAAGGAAAAGCAAACATGGCCAACCAATATAAAGGACAACAGTACCTTTTCTCTCATCAGGTATCTCTCCTTTTCTACACAACTTTTTTCTCTGATAATCATTACCGCCACACACTCAAATCACTCTTTATACATGTATCTACATACATTCTATATGTATACAGCAAATGCAATTTGACAATCTCACCCCTTCTTCTATTCTTCCTTTGTTATCATTGAATCTACATCTATGATTGTTGAGTAATTATTGCATTTGTGTAGTTCATGTGCTCATTGTAAATAAAGTTGAGTTTATGTATATGCAGAAAGAAGAGGAAGAGAAGGAGGAGTTTGATCTGGGATCTGACGAGCCTGAGATCCCATTTCCCTTTAACATTACTTCTCGGGTCGGTCATATCTCATATCACTTTCTATACCTATTTTTTTACTGCGAAACGGGGGCTGTGCGAATTAAAATGTAGTTATTCCTGTTACTAGAGTCCTTTTGGTAAGGGTTGTTTGGCTGAAATGAACTAGCCTAATTCGCTGAATTTTTGTAATGGATAATTTGTTAAGGTCCATTTCAGCCAAATAAGCAAGTCAAAACGTACATCTACTTATTGTCACGAGAATCTGAACAGCCAAAACATTCTACCAAAGGAGCCTTAAGCATTGAGTTGGACTAGCTAACTGGTTGAACTCAATCTAGATTGGCCCAAGTGTTTGATGGCCTAGTTGAGTGACTCAAACTGAATCGTAAATTCTATCAACACCCCCACATAATTTGTCCTATACATTTTTAGAGCATTGATGAAAATGTAGCGGGGATTGTGAAAGTGTAGGTGCTTTATATGTTGGGGGATATAACGGCAGGGCCGGCGTATCGGTTTACAGAATGGCTGGAGCTGGTCCGCAAACGAAGTAGCAAGATTCGCTCCTCCGGGTTCCCTCATCGTCCTCACAGAGTTGAGACTATGCTCTCCAGGTTCTTGAGTTTTTCAGTCGTTGATTGACACAATGCTGCTTTATGCTGCAGTTGCTTTTCATTATTATATTGTTCTCAGGATCATTAAACAGTATGGTTTGTGTTTTTGTTATGGGGCTTGGATGTCAAATGAGTCTCGATATATATGACTAATATGCAAATTTCTTTGTGCCTTTTCTTTCTTCTAGTAATGAGCCTTATTGTATTGAACATTACAACAAGTTGCATATTGGAAACTAAACGGGAACTAAATGAGACACTTACTAAAAACTGTGATTATCATGTATGACTATGTCTGGGAAGAGGTTTTGGAGGGGAAGTGAGTGGGATGGACATTTTTATTAGCAAATGAATTAACCGAATAAAATATGGTAATTTACCATAAACCCTCGGTGATTAATGAATGAATAGTATATGAGTTTATACTTGTATATCATTTTTTTAAAGTAATCAAATACCCAAAGAAAGGATAATTAAATACATTAATTGAGCCCATATTTTTGTGTGAGGAATTGAGCCCATATTATTACCTCGTTGATATTTAGTTTCACTTTGACATTCTTCTTGACCATATACTGATACACATATTGATGCCCTTTTGTCTGCCACGTGAGGGTATTAGGATCTAGTTGGTAAGGGTTATTTAACTATAGCGAAAGGAAATAGATTGAGCAATCTGCTGAAAGTTAACGTCTATTTACTTATTTAGTCAAATATTAAGTAGAAAGCTACTCATTCTGTTTATTTTATTTATAATCAGAATAAGCCAGAATGAGTTACTAAACGGAGCGTTAATCATTATTGTTCTATTTTAGCCCAGAAGAATCAAGTTCAGATGTAAAAGACCCTCCACCTTCTGAGCAAGCGGCGGCAGAATTGAGTTTGTGGGATAGACTTGGCAATGCTGTGATGTTGGACATCGAATCAAGCGCCTTGTCCTGGAGAATGCTCGCTTCCCTTCACCACACAGAGCACAACAGTAGTACTGAACAGTCTGAGGATGAAATGAATAAAGCACTAGAGGTATTTACTTACTTTTATCCTTACAACAACATCCAAGCGTTATCCTTCAAATAGGAAAACCACATCGCTATCTCCAACTAAGAATAACAGGGTGTATTTCTACCATCGCTTACATTTTGTTCAACTTTTACTTCTGGTAAGGTACCTCCATCCTAAAAAAGTGTCCTATTATGAGAGTGTTTTTGTACCAAAAGAGAGTCTTTTTTCATTAAATATTGTGATGTTTTCATGTAATATATCAATATATTCCAATATATAACTTCTAAAAACATAAACACGACTCTTTCCTATGGATGGAGGGAGTTAAAGTCATTAGTGGGTGCTTAAACTTTTCTACAATGAATTTTCATTTATAAATTAATTGTATCATATTTAACATGTCTGCAACTCTTTTTGGCTAGTTGAAAAAAGGATCAGCTTTGTTCAATCAAACTAGACTTTCTTTTTGGACAATTCAGTGAACTCTTTCATTTGGAGATGGAGCCAGGGAGGGATGTTTTTTTTTTTCAAAATAACATACGTGTAACCATATATATTCCCCTTCCTTTTTCAGACTGCTTCACCCGAACATACAACCAAGTAACTGACATTTATCTCTATTACCGATTCTTGTGTCATTATTCTCATTATTTGGGTCATTCAAATATAGCATTGACATTCGTTTTGATATCATTCTGATACTTATTCTTCCTCTTCCTTTGGATATCTTTTTGCATCTTTCTATCACTTCTATATTAGGACATGATAAATAATAGCTGACAGCTACATATATAATACTCCCTCCATCCCTTATAAATTTGCCAAGTTTGACTAGGACGTGGAATAATGAAGTAAAAATTTTGAGTTCTAGGTTTGTGTAGAGGAGAGAGAAATATTAAGAACCACAAATTAATTGCTTAAAATGGAAAGTGGCAAAGTTTTTGGAACAACCAAAAAAGGAAAGATGGCAAAGTTATAAGGGCGTATGTCCTAATAAGAGCAGTGCATAACATTGATCTCTCTGACGGTTGTTCCATCCCCTTTGTGGAAACAGGTCACTGTTAATTCTGGGGGTGTGGTTTTTTTTGCACTATTCAATCAGCCTCAAGATGACGAATCTCCTTCTCCAAAGGAAGCTGTAGCTGTTATAAAGATATCATCTTCAAGGATGGCCACTCAATCAGAGCGCCTCGGTTATGAATTTGCCAAGTGGCTAGGTGTTCGGACCCCACAAGTTGTACCTCCTCTCTTTTACAGATTAAGTTATCGCTGTGGGGGCATTTGGTTACCTACTCCTTAAAATGTTCCACTTAGTCCAATGACTGAAGTTATTTTCACCTTTGGTCCTTGACTTTCATTTTTTCATTTTGGATGCACGACTGGTGATTTACTGCCACTTTTGGCCCCTCTGATCATATATCTGGCCAATTTCTGTACACTTTAAGTGATATAAAGACCAAAAGAGGCAAGAAGTCCATTGTCATTCCATAAAAACAGGAACGAATGAAAGTTGCGAAGCCAAAAATGAAAATTTCCTTACAGTTGTGTGATCAGTAGTGTAGTTTTATCTCTAATCACATTCTATTGTTGGATTAGGTGTGCAGTCATTTTTGAAATTGCGTGCAATGTTTAGTTTCACTCAAATGTGCGCCACCATGCAAAGTATTTCACCACCCTCTCCATGCATATTTTTAAATTGTGTAGTATAAAATGATTATTTTAAAAACTCAAAACAGGCATGATGTAAACTCTTCACAGTTTTACACATTGTATATGAGGTTTTTATTATCCATCATACCACTCCCTATAGTTAAAACTTAAAGACACAGTTTGACAATTCCTTGTCCTGGAACTTCACAGGCACGGGTTATTCACAACTGTATTCCGGAGTGGTTGCAGATAAAAGATGCCGCAGAGAAAGCTAAAGAAGCGGCTATATCAGAAGGAGATGAAATTGGTGAAATGACATGCTCAGAACTTCTAGAAGCTCTTGAATTAAGCCGTTGCATTTTACTAATGAAGTGAGCGTAACTTTGGTCATACTCTATATGTGTACTACTGTACTATTGTCTAGCCTCGTTCTAAAATGATAACAGACTTCTTATCATTTTAGAACTTAGAGAGTTAATACCTGATCAGTCTCTTACACTTACTCAATTTGGATCCAATTATGCTCTCCACTGTGAACTTTGAACGAAATGTAGTTCTCATACATATTTGATTTTTAGTAATGATGTTATTTTTGTACTTTCACACAATTTTGGTACTTAAATTGCATAAATGAAGACCTAGAATCTAAAAGAAAAATGTTGACCAATTTGAGTTATAGTGTATGATCATAAGACCAGGATTGGGTATGAACTCCTTTGGAGATACACAACCCTATGTAAAGAGGTTCGAAAGTTTTAACCACTGACTCAGTGACTTGGAAGATTTGTGGGTGTAGTGTGTCTGTGTGAGGATCCTTATCCGGACCAGCTGGTTTCACAACAGAGAAGAGTGTGAAAGACATTAGAATATACTTTAGAATATACTTTAGAATATTCTTCTATCCTTAGAATATACTTTAGAATATTTTTTTGGAATATACTCTAGGATATTATTATTGTATAGAATCTTATAGGAATATTCTATCTTTGTAATGTATATTTATAGGGACTTAACCCTCCAATGAAATACACAGAAAATCTTTCCTCCTCTCTTCAATATTATATTTTGTAGTTTATATTTCAACATGGTATCAGAGCCTTCCATTTCAGTTTAGTTTTTCAGATTTCAGTTCTTTATTCAGGCTGATTTCAGTTCAGTATTCAGGCTGGGTTCTTTCTCCAAGAACTTGAGTTAACTTCAGAACCTTACACACCATTTTCAGAACCTTACACACCATTCTGCCTACAGAACCTCTACACACCATTAAACAGAACCTCTGTCCAGACCAACACCGTCCTATTTCTCACCTCCGTCCTAACCAATTGCACTTGCCGCCGCCGACCACGTCTTTGGAGTCCGCACCGGCAAAGCTTCGCGCGTCAGTCACACGCGCCGCCGAAGACTTTCGCGGCTGCCGCACGCGCCGGCGAGTGAAGCTTCATAGCTGACCGGATTTCTAATCGGAAATCGCCATCTCTGCCAGGCAAATCCATTTTTCCGATCTGCGAGCTTTTGGATCCACGGTCTTCTTGAGGTTGGGGACGCAGATACTTTTGGAAGGGGGCTGCGTATATATTTTGTCTATTTATTCATACCAGACTGTTGAGAAAGGTTGGGATTTGAGACTAGGTGAGCTGGCTCGAATTAGAAAGGGGTTGCGTTATATTTTTGGAGTCGCCACTATCATTAGCTGGTAAGTCAGAAACCCAGACCTCGCCAACCATCTATTGAGCTGCGGCTGGTAAGTCTTAATTAGCTGTATTTATTTATTTATTCTCAAAGAAAAAAAAATCAAAAAAAAAAAATCAAAAAAAAAAATAAAAAAAAATGTCTTTTACGGGTCCATTTGGCAGAGGAGTAATATGCCATTATTGCAAGAAGCCCGGGCACTTGCTCAAAGAATGTAGAAAGTTGCTGTTCAAAAATCAAGGAAATCAGCTTGCTCATGTTGCTTCCGCTACGAGTTCATTTGATGGATCAATTGCTATTTCTTCAGACGAGTATGCTAAATTTATTTGCTACCAAGAATCTCTAAAGCATTCATCTACCCCTATCTCGGTAGTCGCAAATTCAGGTATTTCAAACACATGTCTTGTTTCATCATCCTCAAAATGGGTCATTGACTCAGGTGCCACAGATCATATGACTGGTAATCCTAGTCTATTCTCATCATTTCACTCACATTTACCTGCTTCCAGTGTCACTTTAGCAGACGGGTCTACCTCACCCGTTCTTGGATCTGGTACTGTTGTACCAACTTCTACATTACCATTATCGTCTGTTTTGAGTCTTCCTAATTTTGCATTTAATCTGCTTTCCATCAGTAAAATCACACGTACTCTTAATTGTTCTGTAACATTTTTTCCGGGATATTGTGTGTTTCAGGATCTGTTAACGAAGCATACTATTGGTCAAGGACATGAGTCGGGTGGTCTTTATATTTTGGATACATCAATTACAAAAGGTATCTCTTGCCTTGGGGTTGGAAATCTATTAGAAGCTCATTACCGATTAGGACATCCATCTCTCTCACTAATGAAGCAATTATATCCTCAGTTTAATAAGGTGTCTTCTATACAATGTGAGTCGTGTGAGTTTGCTAAACATCATCGCACTAGTTTAAGTCCCCGACTTAATAAACGAGCAAATGCTCCGTTTGATCTTGTCCATACTGATGTTTGTGGGGCATGTCCAGTTGTGTCCAAACCTGGTTTCAAATATTTTGTCACTTTTGTTGACGATTATTCTCGTATGACATGGGTGTATTTTATGAAGCGCCGATCCGAGTTATTTACTCATTTCTATGCATTTTGTGCTGAAATTAAAACTCAATTTAATGTTCCTGTTCGTGTGTTAAGGGGAGACAATGCCCAAGAATATTTATCTGCTCCATTTAAATCTTTTATGCTTCAACATGGCATTATTCATCAAACTTCATGCGTAGACACACCTCCTCAAAATGGAGTTGCTGAAAGAAAGAATCGACATCTGTTAGAAACTGCAAGGGCTCTTCTATTCCAAATGAATGTGCCTAAACAGTTTTGGGCTGACGCTGTGTCTACTTCATGTTTTTTGATCAATCGTATGCCATCTTCTGTTTTGGATGGTAAAACTCCTTATCAATGTCTTTTTCCAAATAAAGAACTTTTTCCTATTCCACCTAAAATATTTGGTTGCACTTGTTTTGTTAGAGATGTTAACCCTCATCGGACGAAATTGGACCCCCAAGTCATTGAAATGTATTTTCTTGGGTTATTCTCGAGTTCAAAAGGGGTATAGATGTTTTTGTCCAAGTACAGGTCGATATCTTATTTCTATTGATGTCTCATTTCATGAAAATACACCATTTTCATCATCCAAGACAGATATTCATGAGGACAACGATGAAATACTCATTTACACAGTTACTATACCTGAGACCACACCTTCAGTAACCATGTCGAATGTCACTGTTCCTGACCCTAGACCTCCTGTACACTTGGTTTACACCCGTCGACACAAAGCACAAGATCACTCCCCACCTGTGACACCTGTGATTACATATCCTGATACTGGTCCGACTTCGATCTCATGTCCTGAACCAGTACCTGCATCTTCAGATCTTGTCTCTACATCTGATCTTGACCTCCCGATAGCACTACGTAAAGGTACACGGTCTTGTACTCATCCTATTTCCTCATTTGTGTCATACAGTCAGTTATCTCCTGCCTCATGTTTTTTTGTTGCTTCCATTGATTCTATTTCTGTTCCCAAATCTGTTAAAGAAGCTTTGTCTCATCCTGAATGGCGTCATGCCATGGTAGAGGAAATGAATGCTTTGGATCTTAATGGTACTTGGGATTTGGTATACTTGCCTTCAGGGAAGAAGTCTATTGGATGTAAGTGGGTCTTTGCTGTTAAGGTTAATCCAGATGGATCTGTTGCTCGATTGAAAGCTCGATTGGTTGCAAAGGGTTATGCTCAAACCTATGGTGTTGATTATTCTGACACTTTTTCTCCTGTTGCTAAATTAACATCTGTCAGGTTACTTATCTCACTCGCTGCAACTCATGATTGGCACTTACATCAGTTGGACATTAAAAATGCATTCTTACATGGTGACCTTCAGGAGGAAGTTTATATGGAGCAACCTCCGGGATTTGTTGCTCAGGGGGAGTATGGGAAAGTTTGTCGACTTCGCAAATCTCTTTATGGTCTGAAACAGAGTCCTCGTGCATGGTTTGGGAAATTCAGTCAATCCATTGAACGGTTTGGAATGATAAAAGGTCAATCAGATCACTCTGTCTTTTACAGAAAAGCGAAAGCAGGTATCACATTGCTTGTGGTGTATGTCGATGATATTGTGATTACAGGAAGTGATACCGCAGGTATTTTGGCCCTTAAGAATTTTCTTCATAGCCAATTCCAAACAAAAGACCTAGGCTCATTGAAATACTTTCTGGGTATTGAGGTAACACGGAGTAAGAAAGGCATATTTCTATCTCAGCGTAAATATGTACTTGATTTACTAACTGAAACAGGGAAATTGGGAGCAAAGCCAAACACAACTCCCATGGTTCCCAATGTGCAACTCACTTCAGAAGGCATACCATTCGAAGACCCAGAAAGGTACAGAAGATTGGTTGGAAAGCTTAACTATCTCGCAGTCACTCGTCCAGACATTGCTTACTCTGTGAGCGTAGTGAGTCAATATATGTCATCTCCGACAGTTGATCATTGGAATGCAGTAGAGCATATATTATGTTACTTGAAGGGGACACCAGGACGAGGTATTGTTTACCAAAATCATGATCACATGAGAATAGAATGCTTTGCAGATGCTGATTGGGCTGGATCTAAAGATGATAGGAGATCCACATCTGGCTATTGCGTCTTTGTTGGTGGTAATCTCGTCTCTTGGAAAAGTAAGAAGCAAAATGTGGTTTCTCGTTCGAGTGCTGAATCAGAATATCGGGCTATGGCACAATCGGCATGTGAGATAATCTGGATAAACCATTTGCTGAGTGAAATCGGATTGAAGACAACAATGCCTGCTAAACTCTGGTGTGATAACCAAGCTGCTATACACATTGCCAACAACCCAGTGTTTCATGAGAGAACAAAACATATTGAGGTCGATTGTCACTTTGTTCGAGAAAAGATACAACAAGGATTGATCTCTACAGGATATGTGAAGACTGGAGAGCAACTTGGAGATTTGTTCACTAAAGCATTAAATGGAATTCGTGTTGGTTATTTATGTAACAAGTTGGGCATGATAAATATCTATGCTCCAACTTGAGGGGGAGTGTGAAAGACATTAGAATATACTTTAGAATATACTTTAGAATATTCTTCTATCCTTAGAATATACTTTAGAATATTTTAGGAATATACTCTCGGATATTATTATTGTATAGAATCTTATAGGAATATTCTATCTTTGTAATGTATATTTATAGGGACTTAACCCTCCAATGAAATACACAGAAAATCTTTCCTCCTCTCTTCAATATTATATTTTGTAGTTTATATTTCAACAAAGAGAATGATGATTTACATAGTTACTATGCATCCACTGAAGATTCTTAGGTCTCACATGGAACAAATTGTGATTAAGTGCTATCTCGTGTTAAGTTTTATGTGATCTTTAAATATATTAGGGAATCAAAAGGATGAAGAGAATCTTACTTTAATCCCTTAGATTGAGGAATATGCTACATAGTAAAGGTTTTTTTTCTAGATTAGGGGTGATTTCATGATTTAGTTTCCCACTTTCTTCTTTTAAAGAGATATATCAGTTTCAGGTTTTAGGCTAGTTACACTTGCCTAATCCGTTATTATCATTCTTAATTGGCCATGTGCTTTGTGACCCAGTTGAGTGGCCCGACTTGTTAATTTGATCGTAGTCACTATAAAATGTAATACACTTCTCCAATTTATACAGGAAGAACTCAAATTTATTAGTTTAATTAACCACACTATCATCACACATTAGATGTTACTTTACTTCTAAATCAGGCCATGTAAGATGTACAATATCATTGATTTGCTTTAAGCTTAATGTTTCTTATGTACTCATTACTGTAAAATCTTAGATTAATTTCCTGACTACCAATTTTGCAGCTATATACACGGATCGCCTCTGTTAGAGAGCTCAAATGCATTTGATTCCCAACAATCTGCAGAAAAAATAGCAGCTGCTCTAGGAAGGGTCATGGTTTTGGACCTCGTCATAAGAAATGAAGACCGCCTTCCATGTCGCCATCTGAGATGGCGTGGAAACTCAGCAAACTTACTGTTATCAGATAAGGTGGGTGATGTGGAAGCTCCTGAGTCGGCCTTCAACTCTCTAATCAATAGATGCAGACCTAGCATGATAAAAGCGTTTCAAAAAGAAAGAAGAGCCACTTCAATAGATGGCAAAATTACCCCTCCCACTTCGGGTTTATTACCACAACGCTCTGATCTGTCCGACGTGGCAGAGTCTCCGAAATCAAGCAATTTGAGTGTTAAAAGTATAAACTTAGGTGCCATTATCTTCACTCTAATTACTTATTCTTATTATTTAAATCAGGTTAGTCCAACCAAACCAAAGATTTAGATAAGATCGGACCAGAAGTATTGAGATTGCACCACCAGCCCATATGCTACGATTCTGACAATAAAATTAGACAAGATCATTAATATTAAAGATTAGGACCAGATCAAAGATAAAAAAATCAGATTGGATCACTTTTTTTTTCAGGCGAAGAGAATAGGTCTTTAGATGATTCAACGTCTCCGGAATTTCATATCGTGGCTATAGACTCGGGGGTTCCACGCAGGCCACCAGCTGGCAAACGTGCAAATGACCATGAATTTTATCCTAAGCTGGTTGAGCTCATTATTAACAGTTATGAGTATTCATCTAATATCCTTCATGAGATAACAGGAGGAAAATTAGGGTTTCCTCCTAACGACTCTGAGATGATGACTGCCGATTCTCATTTGGCTAATATGAGCCTTGTTATTCATGAATTTCGAAGTGGATTTCGTGCAGCTTTACGAGATTTACAAGGATTTCATATATTTCTTCTCACACTTCATCAGAAACTGGAAAACCTCTTGAGAGTGCTTCTCACCATTATTGACAGAGCTTCTTCTTCCGGGGATCTTGAGAAGGAAGAAATGACGGTTCCTGAGTCACCACCGCCTAGTAGGGAAGCGGCAGTTGGTGAAAACAATGTTGATTCAAATGATTCAGAATTGCCAAGGGTAACACCTAAGCCATCGTCATCTTCAGGGTGTAAGGAGAGCTCGGATGGCGGTTCTCCGGTTGCGCGTGAGGGTTGCCAGGGGAAGTTTAGGGGTAATGGAGAACCTCTGCATAGTTTGCGTTTGGCATCGAAACTACGTGACTTCCACAAATCTGCTAAGGTAAGTGCATACCTAAAATTAACTATTGTTTTGAAAAGACATCTTTATTTGCATGCCAAAGAGAAAACAAATAAAAACTTGTCTGGAACATAATTGCTTCATTGCATGATACCCTGGAGTTGATTTTGTCACTTAGGGTCCCTTGTTTCCGTGAAACTATTTTCATGGTATATGTTCTCTCGATTTTCATATGTTCGGCACCAGAAAACGTTCCCTTGAATGTGTTTTTTACACGATTCTTTAAACTTTTGTCGGAATCTACTCACTGTTAAAGCATTTTGTTTTCATTTTTGTTCATTAAACATATGTTATTATACATTAAGGGTATGTTTGGAACGTGGGAAAAACTGCTAAAGAAATGGTCTGTAAATCAAAATTTGATTAAAACCTTTTGTGAAATATATAAGAATAAATGTAGGATTATGCTTTGGAATACTTTAGGAATATAGTTTAGGATATTATTATGGTATAGAATCTGATAGAAATATTCTAGGGGTTTTTACTTGAATACTATCAAATTAAAGTCAATTTCCAAAAAAGTGACCATTGTTTAAAAAAGACAAAAATGTGACCAAGTAGGTCACATATTTGGAAAAACATGATGTCACTGCCGTTTTTTATGTCACTGCCGTTTTATGTCACTGTGACATGTCACTAATAGATTTTTTTTGTCAGTTTTGAATGTCACTACCGATTTTAATGTCACTATAGGTTTTCGTATAACTTTTGAGCGTCACTGTTGCCGTGAAACGTGTCACTATGCCGCCGGAAAATTTTCCGATCAAAAAATTATACAAGCTCCACAATTTTCACGCCAGAAACCATCGCCATACCGCTACCAACACCACAGGCGTCGCCCCGACCGCGTAGGCCCCCTACCCCAGCCCCTATCCCCTTCCCCTGCTCTACCAGTCCCCTTCCCCTGCTCCACCAGTCCTCCTACCCCAGCCCCAGTCCCCTTCCCCTTCCCCTGCTCCACCAGTCCACCTACCGCAGCCCCAGTCCCTTTCCCCAGCCCCCCCAGCCCCCCACAGCTTCCAAGACCCAACCTATCTGCCCCAGCGTTGTCCAACCTCGGCCACCACCTGACCCCAGCGCCGCCCGGCCCCCTCCTCGACGTGACCCCAGCAATGCACAGCCCTCTGCGACTCGCAGCAGTCCAACCAACACCGCCCTGCCTCGCCCGTCTCTAGCCCTCTGTGACTCCATAATCACGTGATCTGAAACAGGGCGGCGGAATTAGATCAATGAAGCTAGAGAACATTCACAACGAAGAAGAAGGTAGTGCGGAGCGAAGAAGAAGAAGGCGATCTACCCTAGCCCCAAATTGGGCGGCGGACCCTGGCGGCCACTGAAGGTGAGGCAGAGGCGGAGGCAACCGGCAAAGGCAGAGGCGGAGGCAACCGGCGAAGGCAGAGGCGGAGGCGAGGCAGAGGCAACCGGCGGAGGCGACGCTGAGGCAGTAGGTGGAGACGAGAAGCAGAGGAGGACTTCCCTTGTGGCCGGCGGAGGCGAAGCGCAGATGCGAGGTCGATTGCAATGGAGAACGGGAGAAGTGAGGTCATCGCGATGGAGAAGCGGAGATGTGAGGGCGATGGTTTCTGGAGAGAAGTGTTCGTTAGGTTTAGCATTTTAATGTGACTTTTTTGTCTAATTCTAAAATGGTCATATTTTTGTCCATGTAAAGTGGGGGAGTAATATTCATGCCATTCTTTCAATATTCTATCTTGTAATGTATATTTGTAGGGACTTAAACCCTTCATTGAAGATGCAGAAAATCCTTCCCTCTTCAATATTACTCTAGTTTATACACTGTTAGGGTCCGTGACATTCCCAATAATAAGAGTCATTTTAAGTAATTTAATTATTCTCAATAATAGGGTTTTAGGCCCTATAACTTAATAAGAGTGGGCTGGCCCATTAGAAATAGAATAAATAAGGGGGAGGGGTGAGTAGATAGGCAGGCAGAAATTTGGGATTGGGTATTGGGAGAGTGAGGCCTCAATTGTATTTCCCCGGCATTTACCCCACCACTTGGGTAGTTTGCGTACCGTGTTCACAAAAAAAAACTCTATTTTGTAATGTATATTCATAGGGACTTAAACCCTTCGATAAACATACATAAAATTCTTCCCTCTTCAATATTATTCCAGTTTATACTTTGTGTTTCAACACTTTTCAATATTTTACATAAAATTAGATTTCTTGGTCTTTTTATAATCGAACTATATAGATAGAATGAGTATTAACACATTTAAGTTGGGTTTTTGAGTTTAAACCTATTTTTATGTTACCACCCAAGTTTTCTTATCCATCCAATTTTGTTCGTAATTTCTTTTACTAGCATTTTCCAGGTTCCAACAGACTTGAAGTAACTACTTATTTTCCCGGGGGATATCAGGGGAATTATATTCACAAATACTTATTTTTGTGTAATCAAATTGATCCTTGTTATATAATTTTACCCAAATCCTAAGCTGTTTAACCTTTACTTTACTCAGGTTGATGCAGAGCTAAACAAAGAGTTAGAACAATGGAATGAAATGCTGAAGAACGATGCTATTAAGTTATGCATGGAAAACAATTTCAATACAGGCTTCTTTGAAGGCAGTGATAATAATTACGTGGTTGATGCATATGAGCTGAAGGTATGTGTTAGATGCCATTTGTTAGAGGTTTATTCTGCTAGTACACAGTTTGCTGAAATTCTTGTTGATGTAAACTGTTTTGGTTACACAGGTAAGGCTTGAGCATATTCTTGACAGAATTGTGTTGATATCTAATGCTGCAAACACCGAAAAACCATCAGCAGTTTCGGAGACCCTTTTCATTGGTGGGGCCCTTGCTGCTAGATCTGTGTACACTTTGCAACACATAGGAATCACTCATGTATTGTGCCTTTGCACCAATGAAATTGGACAATCGAACTCTCAGTATCCCGACTTGTTTGTGTACAAAAACTTTTCTGTATGTTCCTTATTTTTTTCTTTTGTTTTGCTTTATGGTATGTTCGGGTCCCAGAAAATACTAGTGCAAGAAGAAAAATATGGCTATGTGAAGTTTATTTCTTGCGTTTGGTTTTACCACGAAACATGCAAAGCAAATGAAATATGATCAGTGCTTTTTTAATAACTATACATATTACCTCCTCCCCAAAATAATAGTTACAGAACTTTGGGGCACATAAATTAAGAAAGTGAGGTAAAAACTTCAACTACCCTCTCCTTTTACTAGAAAATTGAAAAGGTAAGTAAAGTTGGAATGACGAAGTTGTAGATTTAAGTAGAAGGAAGACTAAAGTAGGAATTTTATGTAGGATCATTTTCCAAAAAAGGAGACAACCTTAATTTTGGGACAACCCAAAAAGGAAATACATAATTTTTTATTTTGGGACAAGAGGAGCATAAAGTAGACGTGCTTAAACAAATATAAAAAATTAATTATATAGAATTTAGACAAATGCTTTATTTTCCCTTGCATTTTCTTCCCTTGCAATTTTCTGCTACGTTGTCCTTGGTGTTTATTTCCCTAGCATCTTCGGTGCTCCAAACAGACTCTTTGGAAGTAGCATTTTGGATTGATAGAAGCCGGTTATTTTGGATTTTGTTTTAAATAAACTGAGTGATGATCTGTGCCTTGTGCAAACAGATATTTGACAACGAGGACAGCAACATCAGCGATCTCTTTGACGAAGCACACGATTTCATGGATCACGTTGAAAAAATTGGTGGTAAGGTTCTTGTTCACTGCTTTGAAGGAAAAAGCAGGAGTGCGGCTGTTGTCCTTGCGTATTTAATGCTGAGAAAGTAAGTCCCCAAGTGTTAAGACAAATTGATCCTTTTTTTAACAGTTAATACCTCTCTATAAAAGTCATCATCATGGCATCATCACCAGCTTAGTCTCTATTGAGCTGTGGTCAGTGGCCTGAAATTTGTAGTGGCATAAAATTGTCTAAAAATAGTTAAAACATTGTTGATTCCGCTAATACATTATTTATTTAGATATTATTTGTTTGAGGCAAGAAAGCGCTGACTAAGATGTGCTCTTTCAGAAGCTTCACACTTTCCCAAGCATGGAATGCACTGAAGAGAGTGCACAGACGTGCCCAACCAAACGACGGCTTTGCGAGGCTTCTATTGGAACTGGACGAGAAGTTGCACGGAAAGGTTTCCATGGAATGGCAACAACGGCGGCCGACAATGAAGGTGTGCTCCATTTGTGGGAAGAATGCCGGGCTGAGCAGCAGTTCGCTGAAACTCCACTTGCAAAAAGCACACCGGAAGCTTTCTTCTGGAAGTGTGGATAGTGCCATGACCATGGAGATTCAGAAAGCCATGGATGCACTGAAACTCAGTCGTAGTGGGAGTGTCAGTCCTACACACAGAAATCCTAACCCAAACATGGTTGAGTAACCGTGTACATTTGACCGTTAATGTTTGGCTTCTGACACTTGTGTATTTATTATTATTGCGTGTGTGTGCGCGCACACACATATATATATATAGAGAGAGAGTCCTTTTCTTGTCCAGCCGGCCTGACGGGAACTACCGTCCGGCCGAGGGCATTTCGGGCACTTCCCGATGGTATTTTTTGATGAAATTTTTTTAGCATGTTTTTCATGAAGTCTAGTTTATCCATACCAAATTTCAGCTAAAAATTCAATCGGGAAGGCATTCAAATAATTTTTTGAAGTTGACTGCGTCAAAGTATATATGTGTGTGTGTGTGTGTATATATATATATATATATATAGGGGTGAGATCCCATGCCAACCAATCTTCCGGTGCTAACCTACAAACTCATCACATCCGTCCATATCTATACAATCAAAAGCGGATAAAAGCCATCCACAATAATGGGGCGTGTGTTGAGATGTAGATAATTTCAACCGTTTGGGCTATTTTATTGGAGTGATTGGTGGGAAAGGTTATCAGGGTCATTTAACTTTTTAAAAACGGAGCTTCCAAGTAGAAAAGGAAAGAACGGAAATAACTCATCACTAATATTCTACCACTAATTAATGTAATCCACCACCAATATCCAAACACTTTAGGTAACCCACTACTGATATTTCGACCTCCATCTTAGGGATGGACTCGGGCCGGGCCAACCGGCCCGGAACCGGACCGGCCCGCTACTGTGCGGGCCCGGACCGGCCCGGTCAACCGGTTCGGGCCTCCAGGCCCGGTGGTATACCGGTCCGGGCCCGGGCCTCCACTTTAGTGAACCGGCCCGGCCGGGCCGGGCCCGGTTCGGGCCGGAATTTAATTTTTTATTTTTTTTTTTTGAAATTTTTTTAAGTTTTGGGTTGGATTAGGTATTTTGGGCCATTTGAGGTGGTTTGGGGTGGAGGGGGAGGGGTAGGGGGTTAAATAAGAGAAGAAGAAGAAAAAAAAAAAACATTCCGGGTGGCCCGGCCCGGCCCGGCCCGGTTCTGGCCCGGAACCGGAACCGCCCACCACCGGTTCGGGCCCGGGCCTCCTTTTTCTGAACCGAGGCCCGGCCGGGCCCAGGCCCGAACCAGGCCCGAACCGGAACCGGTCCACCCCTACTCCATCTATTTTTCATTATACTTCTTTTTAGGAAGTTGAATCTTTATATAAAGATTAACGTGAGATTTTTTATCCAACAAAGAAGATTGTAATATCACTACAAACACACATGATAGCATTTACAAAACTAATATCTTGATTTACAGATTCAGACGCTCCATAATTAACCTTCCCATTTTCAAAACTTATACGTGATAAGTTGGACAGATTTCGATTGAAGAAATGAGCACTAGTAGAAGTTTTTGCATATAAAAGTTACCAGACATTCATATTAAGTTTACGAGATGTGCATATTAAGGTTACGGGTTGTGCATATTAAGGTGATAGGATGTGCATTTTATATTTATAATGTCTCCACAATTTATATTAGATCTACATAGTGATAAACTATATCGACATTGCAATTTAGTGTTTCATAGGTTGCATCTTATCTTTATAACTTGTGCATTTAGGAGTTCATATATTACATTTTAGTATGATAATAGGGAAAACTGTCAAATAGGTCCTCGAACTTTCATGAAAAGGTCAAATAAGTCCTTATATAGGAGGTTCTGTCCGGCCGTCGCGATTTGGGGCGGTTCCCGGTGGAATTTTTTGATGAAATCTTTTGAGCATCTTATTCATTGAGTCTAGTTTACTCATACCAAATTTCAGCTAAAACTTCAATCGGGAATGCATTCAAATTAATTCTTGAAGATAACTGTGCAGTTAAATGCGCAGTTATATTCAAGAATTAATTTGAATGCGTTCCCGATTGAAGTTTTAGCTTAAATTCGGTATGAGTAAACTAGACTTGATGAATAAGATTCTAAAAAAAATCATTAAAAAATTCCACTGGAAACCGCCCCAAATCGCGACAGCCGGATAAAGCTCCTTTATAAGGACTTATTTGACATTTTTATGAAAGTTCGAGGACCTATTTGACAGTTTTCCCTATGATAATATGTACACTTTGGTAGTTCATATTGCATCTTACCGTTGTGGCATCTGCATTTAATAGTTTCATATGTTGCATATTATCATTATAACATGTGCATTTTAGGAGTTCATATATTATATTTTAGTATGATGAAATGTGCGCTTTAATACTTCATACTAATATACTACATCTCATCGCTATGACATCTGCATTTTAGTAATTCATATGTTGCATTTTATGAATATGCATGTGCATTTTAGAAGTTAATAAAATGCATATTAGTAAGATGGAATGTGCATTTTAGAAGTTCATACACTGCATTTCAGTAAGATAACATATGCATTTTAAAAGTTCATATTCTGCATCTTATCATTATGACTTCCCATATGCACTTTGGAAGTTCATATTGCATCCTATCGTTATGGCGGCTGCATTATATATTTATATACTCTACTCACATGCATATGAGTGCTCAACATACATGAAACTACATATTAAGGTTACGAGATGTGCATTTTATTATTAAAACGTACACATATGATAATATTTTTAAAATAAATTCCCTTTTTTACGAAATTAATCACTTCATAATTACAACGTCTGCATATTAGTTGTGCATATGTTGCACTTTCAGTCACATGATATGAGCATTATTTATATAATGGTTGTTATATTGAGCTAATTAATCTATTACGTTGCACTTTGAAAGCCAATACGTTGCATTTTGTCATTATGACGTGTGCATTACAAATTTTGAAATTCATATGTTGCATTTTATCATTATCATCTGTGCACTTTTAGAAGTTCATATATATTGCAATTCAGTAAGATGACAGGTGCATCTTAGGGGACCATATACTGCATATTATCATCATGACATGCATTCTAAACTCACGTGACATGCATATGAAAATCATGAGGTTTAGAAGGCAAGATGCATAATATATTTAAAAAAAATGCTCTAAATGACAAAAATACTACTCCGTACTATATTTTACATACTAAAGCTATAGGAATTTCGCATAAATATGAAATTGTGTGAATTTATATGAAACGATTTCGCATAAAAACTTTTGGATACTAAAATTACAAGAATTTTGCAAAAACAAGTAATTGATGAATTGATATGCAAAAAATATAAAAAATAAAAATAAAAATCGGACTTGCACATCGGATTCCATGGCGATGCTGGAATCCATGGCGTTTGAATAGAACACTCATCAGTTTCTATTAAATTTGAGGAGATTGAGATAAAGATGGAGATGGAGATAGAGATGGGGAAGGAGATGGAGATGAAGAAAGATTTGATACCCTGCAGACAAGCCTATGTCCAACACAGCTAACAAGAAGACAAGCACAGAGATAAGAAACATGATCGACCAGAAAGCTAGAATGAAAGAATAAATGGAAAAGGCGGTTATGGGAATGGCAAGAAGCGAACGTGATTTTCTTTCCCTAATAAAAGTTGAGTAATTGACCAAAATATCCCTAACTTTTAATTACTTGGCTTTCAGCAATTAAAATGACACGAACGGTGATCTCCATTTAATGAATGGTCAAGATTAGTTTGTAGGTTAACATATTAAGATGAGTTTGCATTTGATCTCTTATATATATATATATATATATATATATATATATATATATATATATATATATATATATATATATATATATATATATATATATATATATATATATATATATATATATATATATATATATATATATATATATATATATATATATATATATATATATATATATATATATATATATATATATATATATAGAGAGAGAGAGAGAGAGAGAGAGAGGATTTTTCATGTCCAGCCGGCCTGACGGGAACCGCCGTCCGGCCGAGGGCATTTCGGGCACTTCCAGATGGAATTTTTTGATGAAATTTTTTGAGCATGTTCTTCATGAAGTCTAGTTTATCCATACCAAATTTCAGCTCAAAATTCGATCGGGAAGGTCGTCAAATGATTTTTGCAAGTTAACTGGTCCGAAATATGTATTTTTCGGACCAGTTAACTTGCAAAAATCATTTGACGACCTTCCCGATCGAATTTTGAGCTGAAATTTGGTATGGACAAACTAGACTTGACGAGGAACATGCTCAAAAAATTTCATCAAAAAATTCCACCGGGAAGGTGCCCAAACGGGCTCGGCCGGACGCGACAGCCCGTCAGGCCGACCTGACATGAAGAGCACTATATATATATATATATATATATATATATATATATATATATATAGAGAGAGAGAGAGAGAGAGAGAGAGAGAGAGTAGTCTTCTTGTCCAGCCGGCCTGACGGGAACCGCCGTCCGGCCGAGGGCATTTCGGGCACTTCCCGATGTAATTTTTTGATGAAATTTTTTGAGAATGTTCTTCATGAAGTCTAGTTTATCCATACCAAATTTCAGCTCAAAATTCGATCGGGAGGGCATTCAAATAATTTTTTGAAGTTAACTGGGCAGTTTATATGTATGAACTGCCCAGTTAACTTCAAGAAATTATTTGAGTGCCTTCCCGATTGAATTTTTAGCTGAAATTTGGTATGGATAAACTAGACTTCATGAAGAACATGCTCAAAATATTTCATCAAAAAATTTCACCGGGAAGTGCCCGAAATGCCCTCGGCCGGACGGCGGTTCCCGTCAGGCCGGCTGGACATGAAAAGTCCTCTCTCTCTCTCTCTCTCTCTCTCTCTCTCTCTCTATATATATATATATATATATATATATATATAGAGATTAGAGATCATGTGCAAACCACTCCTCCCATGCAAACCTACAAACTATTCATGCCCATCCATCTTAATTAGATTACCACACGGTTGATTTTTTAAGTGATGGGCTAAGTAGTCTTTTTGTTTGTTTTGATTTTTGGAAATAAAATCACTGTACCCTAGCTTTCCATAACTGCTTGCATCGATACTTTCTTCTCTCCTCTCACGTTCATCGGCCATCAACAAGCCCTTTCTCTATGATTGAAAGCTTCTCTTCATCTGTGCTTTCATCTCCATCTCCTTCTCCATTTCCATAGTCACCATTAATAGAGAGCTTCTTGGAACATAAGTAACTCTTCATTGTTTTGGTTATAACTCCATCTCCATCTTCTTCCCCATGAAATCTTGCACGTCAGATATTTTTTTAATTCTTTACAAGATCTGGTAATCTAAATAAATAAAAAACATAATAAAAAAAAAAAAAAAAAAAAAAAAAAAAAAAAAATAAAAAAATAAAAAAAAATAATAAAAAATAAATTCATTTTCATGAAGTTCATCAATTCTA